TTCATGTCATCTCCTCGCAGACTGGCTTTACTCTGTGATCTGGAGAATGCCGACATGTCATCTTGGAATCCCCTGGGCTGCGATCTAACAGATGCATTATCACCGAGGAATGAACTTGCATGGCGGTATTTATCGTCGTCACCAATCATAGATCTTGAAAGGGAGTGTAACGACTCCCGGGAACCATGCAGACCAGGAGGAAGGAGATAGGGGCTTTGGCCTATGTCGAGGGACATTCCTTTGGCATGCAGGCTGTTCCCTTTCTCTGCTTGCGTCATTGGTTTAGACCCAGCTCTGGGTTCCAAATCTAAGCCAAAATCGAGAGATTTATGCTTGTCATTGGCATCTTCTTGCCGGAGCTTCTTCACATTCCGCCGATGCAGATAAAATAGGACGATAATGGCGCATACAATTGGGATTCTGGTCGCTCATCAGCCCATGTGTAAGAAACAGACAAAAAATAAGAACTCCACGTACACTGCGCCTAGTACAATCGGCAAGGTCGTTGTACTGGCTGAATTTGTATATTTCTCGCATGCACTGGAGGTGTCACCCTCGGGACAACGGGTGCTTGCGGTCGTCGTAGATGTTGAAGGCACCCTTTTCACAAGGGTTGGATCTTCGGTGCCGACCAAGAGAGGCAGACGGTTTCGAGGCACAATGTCTGGTCGACGCGGCGGCGATCGTACGGCCATGTGGATTCCATGACGGGGAAAATGTTGATGTTGGTGATGATGATGCATGGTCGTCCTAACTCGTCTGGTCTCAATGACTTTTGAGTCGGACGGCCGATTCAAAGATCTCCAAGGTCAGTGGACCCCTATAGTCGTCGGATTGATTCGAAGTGGCGGGGTTTGCAGTGAATTGCAAGGAGCAGCGATCAAATTCAGCAATTGACGACCTCTAATCATGAATGCAAGAGTACGGGTGACATTAGCTGTGGAAAAAAAAAGTTGTTATAGAGAGGCCAGAGATGTGAGATTATCGATGGACAGCTTGGATTAGCAGGCTAACGAAGGCAGATGCGCTGCCGAAATTGACACCAATCAACCAAGGAGCGAACGGGAACGGCTTTTTCCCTAAAGGAGTGGAAGCTGAAGGCCAGCAGACTTAATAAATGAGTGTGAATGATCTCCGCGAGGAGACCAAGTTGGAAGTTAGGGAGGGTAGCAGGAAAAGATTAGAGAACCTGAATCGACAAGCAAGCAAAAAGGAATGGATAGGACGATAACAATAATGGAAGGAAAAGAACAAGAAAAGAGAAAACGACCAGGGGACAACGACTAAAGAAAGATAGCGAATTTAGACTAGCAAGTGAGGTTAGTGCAAAGATGAGGAGACAGTACGGAGTAATAATAACAATACTTGCACTAGTCACACTTGTGCTAAGCTTGTCCATACCTCTCCCTACCTAGCCTCGCCTAGAGGTAATATTCAAGATCCATAACAATAATAATAACCAACATGTAGATCTTCTGGTAAGGTGAAATTCAGCTATTGGCCCTGATTGTTTTATGATGAAGTTCTGTAAATCTTCTAGGTTCATTAGCTAGGCAGGCAGGTACCTTGCCGTACACAGACAGCCATAGGTAGCTTAACACAGTACAGTCGTGGGGGTAGTACAAACAGTTTCAGGCACGACCGTGTACCTTATGAGGCAGGCGCCTCAGTACCTAGAATACAGGTAAAGGTAAGGAGTCAGAGATCCTGCGCCTCTCCAGGTAGCTTACTTTGCAGGTAGTCCGTGTCAAGTACTGCTGTGCTTTACACTTGATAATCTGTACATACTCCATACATAATACCACCTCTAGGAGATACGAGTGGTCTATTCCCTCTTGCTTGTGTTGAGAGACAGGTACTGCAAGAGATAAAGTACGCTCTCTTAGTACCACTAGTCGGGTACGGATACCAATCATACAAGGTTGGTACCTGAGAAGTGGCGACGGGATGAACAGCCAAAGGTTTCATTAGCCCCACTTGAATCCCCTTAATTGAAAAGTATTGGTGGCTTGTGTAAAGTATATATTATTAGCAGGTCGGTTCAGGGGTAAGACTTTATGTGTTGGTGATGGACAGAGTCTAGACTATCTGTAAGATTTCTGCATCTGTCATGAGAGCTACTCTGCACGGAGCAGAAGGGTCAATAAACTATGCTGAATTGCTTTTACTGATCATTATGGAACCCATCCCTACTGCTTAGTTTGCTTGGAACCAACTATGGAATAATCACTAATGGACTAGAAAACCTAAGAAAATTCAAAAAATAGTGATGTTGCTTGAGCTTGCTCAGCCCTTTTTAACCCGACAATCAGTTATCCCGCAGTATATGAGTCTTGATCTCTGAAGCACCTAGTTATGTGAGGGCATCAGCGGCCGCGCTTATTGCTCAATGACAGCAGGCCGCCTGTGCGATGTTAAGCCAAACTATTCGCCCCTGGGAAGGTGGAAGCTATCCTCCCTGAATAGTGGTATGTATACGGACCCTGAGGAAGCTGATAGGAGCAGGGAGTACTAAGATATTGAACCGAAAGCTTCAACTCACGCATGTACCTTGAGTTCATTGGATTGCTCTCCACATTATCCGTTGACCACTGACCACTTACCATCAATTGTCCTGTTAACTTTCTACCTAATGAAGTTTACTTTGAAACCGACTTTGAGAATAAGTAACACATTCTATGCTTTACAATGACTTAATTCTTCTAAAGTTCTATTCCTTTTTTGGGCTACCACTAAGGACATGCAAAGGATTATCTTCATATGATATATGAAGGTGTCAACTTAATATAATGCCTTGGATGATACATACTAAGTTGTATAAGGTAGAATGTATGATATCTCTCATACATACCACTGCACCTAGTCACATCATCATCTAGTGGACTGATCAAAGTTAGTAGAGAGTTGTAATGATAATATTGCTTTTGGGATCTATAACGTAGTGTATTGAACATGCTTTAACCATGATCTTTTATTTTAGGTGTCAATCCTGTCCTTGCAAGGGAGCAGCAGCATTCATGATCATATAAAAATGTCATTCACTACCATCCCTCTGAGAAAGACCGTAGTGAGACTCTTGTCCTTTATTTAAGATTTTCACGTATGGTATTTCCTGATAATCTAGAATTTACTACAATTTCTATTATTATCATCAATGTAGCATGGGCACGAGGAGGAAATAAGGTTATTGTTGCCCCTCTTTTTTTTGTGCAGCATCCTGACGTCAAAAACAAAGCCCTACTGTAACCGACGCCATCAGATCGTTGACCGACCTGCCATACAAAGTTCTACTCTGTTTTGTAGCATCAAATTCATAGCCCAGACCTATTGGCTACCCCTATCTTCTGCTATCTTCGTTGCTTTAAATGCTTCCTCTATTCCTCAGCAATATTATGGAGAAGACAGGAGGGCTTCCTTGAAATCATGCAGTGATTTTGGGCTTGAACCTGACCACAAAAAGTTTTGTCTTTTTGTCTAGGAGGCCAGACTTCCATATTGCCTTCTATCACTAGTGACAACGACTAGGTAATGGTGCTACCACGGTTACATAGTACTTACCTACCTAAGTACATGACTGATTGCTTACCTGATGATGATAGTGATGATAATGATGCCTGAACCAAGCATGGCCACTTCTTTCATGTGTGCCTCTCGCAGGCAATAAAAAAGCCCAAAGGAAAATTGACAATTTCTGAGAACAATATCCCTATCCATGGACTGATTCTATGCCTTGCATTACAAAAAGTAGAGCCTTCACTGTGCCCCCATGGAGCAGAATGAAGCACAAAGAGGCATCGAGGAAGGTTGTCGTGTCGGGATTTTCTCCGAAGAGGCGGCTTGAGATCATCTTCAAGTAAGTCCAATTTGCCGCTATGGTTGAGTTACAAGCCCACTTGAATCGCGTAGCTTCGCACTGTCTACTTCATTCGCCTCTTCAAGTGGACGCCCGTACGATTCTGCTTTAAAAATCTTGTCTCAACCCAAATTCACCCTACCGATATGTTATAAACACTCCGTCCTTCCGGCCTCGCGGAAGAAGAGAATTCTCCTAATTTCTGCTATGGTTTCCAGCACTTGTCCTCTAGGCTGCGTGCGTAATTGCCCACATGGATTAATTGTCGCGGGATCCCGAGAAGGCTGAATTGGAGGCATACCGTGCACCAAGCCGCCGTCAGAGCCTCAGTCATGGGAGCCGTGCCTCTCGGTCTGACTCCCTCTCATCCTCGGTCACCTCTTCCAGCTCGTCAACACAAGCGCAAGAGGGTGACTACTACTTGTCGCAGGTTCAGACTGGCCAGACGGTACGAGGTGCTGGTGTAGAACGACATCCAACAGCGCTCAGTCGTATTGCAACTCAGAGAAGCCAGCATAGCGCCACTGTGGGTGCTCCCAAGCCACTCGTGTCAAAGAGACCTCTGCCAGAATTTGGCGCAGGAAAGCCCTATCCCCCGCCGCTTACAGAGAGAGAGGAATATGTCGTCGAGTTTGCTGGTCCGGATGATCCTCTGCATCCTCAAAACTGGTCTACAAAGAAGAAGTGAATCACTCCGAGTTCGCGTCGCTCGCCTCAGAAGACTAATGGCGACCCACCTCTGCGTAAAGGATTGCAGTTTCCGCCATGCTGGCATACACTACTTTCGATACGACTTTCACAAGCAGCATCTACTCTACCGCCAATTCGGTTGTGTCATCGGAGTTTCATGTCTCGACCGAAGTAGGTACTCTCGGCCTCTCGCTGTATGTCTTGGGGTTTGCGTGTGGTCCGATATTTTTCTCGCCGTTGTCTGAGCTACAAGGCCGGCGTCTACCCATTCTGATTGGCATGTTCGACTTTACCATCTTCCAGTTTGCAGTGGCTACTGCGGAAAACCTCCAAACGATAATAATATGTCGTTTTTTCGGTGGCTTTTTTTGGATCGTGTCCCATTGCTGTTGTTGGGGCGGTGTTCTCTGACATCTTTGACAACCGCCATCGAGGCCTCGCGATCACGGTTTTCACCATGACAGTCTTTCCCGGCCCGCTCTTTGCTCCTTTCGTCGGTGGCTTCATCGTTGAAAGTTACCTAGGCTGGCGTTGGACAGAATACCTCACTGGCATCATGGGGGCCACAGCTTTTGTTCTGGATTTATTCTTTCTGGAGGAGACCTATCCTCCAGTTGTGCTAATTGGGAAGGCTGCTAAGCTTCGTCAACGAACGAGAAATTGGGGCATTCACGCGAAGCAAGAGGAGACTGAGGTTGAATTTGGAGAGCTCATTGGCAAGAATTTCAGCCGTCCATTACGAATCTTGTTCACCGAACCGATCGTGCTCCTGCTAAGTATCTGCATGGCATTTCTCTGTGGCTTGCTATATCTATTCTTGACTGCATATCCAATTGTCTTTCAGCGCATCCACGGTTTTAATAAAGGCGTTGGGGGGCTTCCTTATTTTGGGATAATCATCGGCGAATTTTTGGGCGGGATATTTATTAATTATGCTCCAGCCATGGTATAACAGACGACTGAGTAAGAATAAGGACATACCCATCCCCGAATGCGTCTACCCCCTGCCATTATAGTGGAGTGGCTTTTTCCGGCGGGCTCTTCTGGTTCGGTTGGTCCAGGGTACAGATCTGATATACATTGGATCGTGCCAACCCTATCGGGTCTCCTGACCGGATTCGGACTTTTCTGCATTTTTCTGCAATGTCTCAACTATATTGTTGATGCCTATCTCGTCTTGTACGTTGCCCCCTCCTATATCTCTCTTTCAGAATCTAGGCTGATGTTTTGTCACGTAGTGCAGCTTCGGCCCTGGCCGTAAATAGTGTTTTGCGTTCTACAGCTGGTGCAGGATTCCCACTTTTCTCAACATATATGGTACGTTCGACCCTCCTTGCTAATTGGGACCTTTGACGCCTCTTTTCACCTGACATGCGCACAGTTTAATGCTCTAGGCGTCAACTGGACTGGGACTCTTCTTGGATGCGTCGCTGCCATCCTGATGCCTATTCCGCTCCTCTTCTACTTATACGGACCCAAGACCCGTGCGAAGAGCAAGTTCGCCATGGAATATATTGTAGCCGTTCAGGCTCACAATGATGAGCATGGGGAATGACAGCCTTCATCTACCTCAAGACGGACACAGTGGACAGCTCATTCAGGAGATGAAAAGAAATCACGGATGCTGTACGCGAGCCTGATGAACTCGGAACATTCCGTGATGGACTATCTTGAACAATTCGCACATACCTTATTGCTTGTTGAGCGTCTCGATTCTTACTGTATCACTAGGCAGTTTCGTTATTGACTTGTGATACCCCTATGGCTTGGATCTTCGTTGGTCTTTGGCGTGACAGCAGATGGTTTGTACAAGGTCATTAATCTTAATGACCATAAAACGGCGTGTGTATGTTCGAATCAGAAGCAAACTTCTAGAGCCCAACCTCGTATGAGATTGCTCTTCGAAGAGATATCGGCGTTTACTTCATATGGAGATATTGAACATGGCAGATACTACCGGAATGCTATCGCTTCATTCCATGGTCTTTTATTACATTATGTACCTTTTTTCCTACTCTAGTAAGATAACGCCAAACCAGCTTGAACCAGAATGACATGTGGTTGTATCCTTGATTTCGACGCCAATACGGATACTGCCTCGCCTGCCTGGTGCGTGTTGTGCTATTCCAAGGCAAGTACCAGCAGTGGGAGGTGGAAAAAGACGCAAACCCCCGGGATGGACCCGGGAAACCGTCAGACAGGACCGTTAGTTTTGTGGCAGTCAGCTGAAAACAGAAAAAAGGGGAAGTCATGAAAAGACGAGGAAGAAGAATTAACACATTGATGGTGCCCATACAAGAATAGACGAGGGAAATGACATTGGGTGGAAAATGTACACCAAACCCACTAATACAAGATGAAGCCCTGTTCAGAAAGAAATTTTTTCAAAGACAAAGTTAAACAGCCTGACATTCCGGAAAGCAGAAGGTTAGCGATGGATGCGGATCTCGGGTTTGGAAAGATAAAGGAAGACCATGTTAGGGTTCTATCCGCGTCATTTCGTAATGCTCGAGTCAGTCGTCAAAGATCAAGGAAAAAGGGAGTAGTACATGAGAGAGAAGAGAGAGCGAGGGAAATGTGCGGAGTGACGTCATGTCGACCGTAGGAATTGATGCATCTCTAATTGAGACAGTGGGTTTCATAAATCAAGTGATTATCGTCAGTAGGTTGATCGAAGATCCGGCTGAATGGCGGATCAGAAGACTGCGTTTTGTCGTCGGGGGTCGTTATCACGCCCTCCTCCTTGCGAATAACTTCTTTCAGGGCTCGGGTTACCACACCGGCTCGTATGACAAGATCATGGAGAGACTGCGTATCAAAGGGGAGTTTTGTGGAGCGCGAATGACGAGGATTGCGGAGAGTGGGGTCATGCGAAACGCGTTGTTGATAGATCAGATCTAGAACCGACTTCGCTTTGGCAGACGTGTCACAGGAGACGTTGAGATTTGGAGGCAACTTCTCGGAAAGCGAAGCTCGCCAGGAATCCCCGCTTGTCCGCTTCGACGGATCTGCTAGGTTGGACGACTCGCCTTCAGAGTCATCAAAACTGAAAGTAAGGGAGGACGGCGATCTCGGAGGGGAATCATTGTTTTCCTCATCGTCAACCGTGGCTAGATTGACGATACCCTCAGCCTCCTGCCAGAGTTCACTCGATGGACCTTGAACTATATTCAGAAAGCTGGCTCGGTGACGAAGACGCTTAAGCTCCTCAACTAGTAAGGTCAATTCCTGGACCTGCCCGAATTGTCCGTGAAGGCTCGCTTGACGTTCCAGGATGGCTGCAGGAACTATCATGCCCCGTCGAGAACTCGTTCTACTCGGCCGCAAATTCTCGTTGTCCATTTCTGCATCGTCGAACTCGAAATCGCTGTCCCAATCCTCGCTAACACCTTTACTACCCAAGCCCCAAGTTCCAAATTTTCCTGATGTCTGACGAGATTCACTAGCGATTGTAGGGTCTCTCGACACAGGAACACTCTGGCTGCGAAGATGCAATGAGTTCGGAGCCTTCCGCCCTGAAGCACGACTGCCACGGAACTCAGGCCCATTTTTCCCGTGGACAGTCCGGGGTCTTTCGTCAATTCCCGAGGCGTCTCGGTCGTTTCGTGACTGTTCCGACCAGTCAAATATGTTCATTTTTCGGCATGACCCAAGCGACTCTTGAGAAACGCTGCGCGATTTGGGCAGCGCAAACGCCTCGTCTGAAGCGTGGGATGAATTTGAGTGGACTTGAGCACGGATATCATTGCCTTCGGCGTACAAATTGGAAGCTACCAGAGGACGACGGGGAAAGATGAACGATGAATTCATCTCACCAGGCAAGGCGGCAACCGTGCTTCGAGCATCTTCATCATCTGATAGGTCCGGAGGAAAGGATACCCTGCTGTCTTCACTGTCGTCTAGCTCTGCCATCTCACGGGCTCTAGGGGTTGCACCAGAAACTGCATCGCTGTCAATTCCCAAGTCGCATATAGCCGGAGCCAGTCCATGCTGCATTCTTGGACCGCGAGGTTCGAGCGCTCCGATTCTAACCTCGTGGTTCGCAAGACTCTCTAGTGGATCCTTGTCAAACATGGTTTCAATCCGCGAACCCTGAGAACCCGAGTTGCTACCAATTGTGAAATGGGTGCGGATCGAGTTAAATGCGGTATCGGTCAAGAAATCAGATTCGTCTTCATCGCCAGACGTAAAAATACGAGTATCATCGGACCCAATCGCGGATGAAGCTGGATCAGAGGCCGCGATTGAATGGCGCTTGGGACGTTGGCGGACGGACCACAGGAAAGTCAAGTCAGAGGTGCGAAAGAATGCATTCTGGTATGCTGATAGTGCTACCGCGTCCGATGTCAAGGGGCGGTTCCCGTAATCCCGACAGAGACTCAGCTCCGCTCTGTACTCTCGAAGATATGAAGGCGTAATAGAACGCCGCGATCGCATGATCTTTGCTGTCAGGAAATTAGGATATCCTGCCTTGAATGCGTCAGGAGGCCGACGGAAGAAGTTTGGGTCGGTGATGTTACGCTTCCCATTTGATTCTCTCGACTCCGAGGTGGCCACTTTCGAATTCGGTAATTCTGGGAAGGGTGTCGATACTGCTCTCCTTTTTGGCCAGACCAAAGGTCCACTATTGGGCTGCTTGGAAGCTACTGTGCTTGAGCTTTTTTCAGGCGACTTCGGGTCCGCTTCGTCGAGTACAATAGAAGAAAGGCCGCTGTTGCTTTCCACTAGGGAAGGTGCGTCTCGGGCACGCTGTGGATCATCAAGTTTGAAGGGGTCTCGAAACTGGACTGGAGAGGCAGGAGCAAACTCATTCGAAGTGGCGTTTATTGCAGGTTCTTTCATCGTGATGGAGGTCGCCAGAAGAAGCGCTGGGATGGCATCCGGGCTCGGGAGGATCCGCCGCAGTGCTTGTTCCTTCGGCCTTGTCGCAGTGGACAGTCTTCGGGCGAGTCTCTCGGTCAACCCCTCCAAACTGGTTCTTAGATATGGTTGCCATACGCGCCCCTCAACCTCAATGGAGGAGCCTGCCTCGACAGGATGCGACGTGGTATCTATGATAAAACCAGGCTCGAAGTTTAAGCTGTGAGTTGCTCTATGCCGTAATACTTCGGACCGTTGATAGCTCGTCGCAGGTCTCCGCAATTGCGAAGGTGCCCAGGGCGATGATGGCGCATGCGCAGATGAAGGTAGACCATTGGAATGCTGCGAGGGGGGTCGCTTCACAAGCCTGTTTGGTACTCTGCGCTGACTGGACAGTCGTGATAAGCCTGGGCTTGCGGGGTCGTTGGATGATGGAGACAAGGGACCATTATTTGAGAGGCGGCTTTCCTGCGGCTGGATTGATAGACGTCGCAACCAAGAGGAGGATGGTCGTCGGGAATGCGAGGGAGTATCCCTGTCCTCTTTTAGTTGCGAAGGTGGACTGGTCATTGTATGACCTCGGCGCCGACGTATTACACCCGCAAATGAAGACTTTCTCCGAGATTGTGAGTCCCCCGAATTGACCTCGGGTGAAGCGCCATCGCTGTGAGGCTGGGAAGGGTCTGCGATATGATGCGTTTTTACATCGCAGACTTTGGAAGGGAAAGAAGGGGAATCTGGAGATGTGGTACCGAAAGCTGGCGATACAGTGTTGTCTGCTATAGGCGCACGATAGTCACGCAGGAGGGTCTTTCTTCGAAATCTCCCTTGTTTGGAGGAAGGTCGATCTATGCGACCGAGAGCGAAACCGGTCGCTGCAATACCGACAGTGCTGACCGCACAGAGCTGACAGGAAGCAAGACCAGTTAGTGTCGGGTCAGTCAAGCAGCGGTCGATCGCAAACACCGGTGGACACCAAAGAGGAAACTTTGCTGCTCGGAGATCACGCGCAGAGTTACTGGCACTCAAGGATGTTTTGATTCCTTCTCTTAGTAGAGAGAATTGAATTCAGGGCAGGAAAATGGCGATTTCGCAGAGGATGAGGGAGGCGGCAGACTTACAGTAGAAACATGCTCCATCCTCAGAGGGTGCTGAGAACAGCGTCAGACACCACAGAACTCAGTCCAGCCACATGGGACATTCCTGTCTGCATAATCATGCACAAGGAGGAATTATCCGTAGAGAGATAGGGCTCAAGAGGAGCATGTAGAGAAGAATGCGACAGTTGAATGAAGCAAACAAGTGGCAGTTTTGAATGAGGGAAAGTGAGATGTGGAAAGCTGGATGAAGATACACCGGCCGTCGAGCGCAATAACAATAACAATAATAAGAAGCGGAGTTTGTCTGGGGGGTTAGGGAGGGGCCGCTGCAGCTGAGGCGAAATGTCAATGTAGGTACGGTGTACACTGCAAGGAAGTGAAAGAATGGGGGAGGGGAGGGCTTGTAAAGAATGCAAGAATAAGACAATTGTAGTAGTAACTAAAAATTATAAGGAGAGAAAGATGATCATGAAAGAGTCAGATTCTGGCCTCGCTGCTCTTTTTGTTGCAGAATGTCGTGGTGAAGAGGATAACAATTTTAATTTATTGGAGAGGAGCTCTCCTCCCCAGAGTGAGCAGCTGGGAAGGATATGGG